GGAAGACTGAAGATAACAGTCTTCAAATACCTGAAGAGTGATTACAGAAAGGTTGGGACTGGTTTTTCTCTGATCAATGACTTCAAGCTGCAGCAGAGAAAATTTAGGTTGGAGATTAGGAGTCCAACCTCATCTTCCTCATTTGCATCAGCAGTGTCAAAGTGTGGATCATTGTTGGCACTTAATAACCAACTCCTCAGAATATGAGCAGCTGGCTTGATTATCGATGAGGGTGTTTTGCACTTGGCTCTTTTCTGAGCCATTTTCATCCCCTTAGTATTAGTTAATTACATGGACTCCCAACTGTGATCTTACCAGGAGGTTCCTCTTTCGATAGCTTCAAAAACACCTATGTTGCAATGTCTTGTTTCCAAGTCTTCCTAAACGTTTGCCTCTCCCTTAAGGATGAGGTAATACAGAACCTCTGCACCGCTCCAGTTGGAAGCATAGCAATAGATCCTTCAGGTCTAGAATAAAATGTTAGCTTTGCAGATTCTAAGAACATGTAATAACGGATGGATGGAACCTGACCGAGTGTCAGCAATTAAAGAGGGAGTAAACTTTCACTTATGGCCCCAGAGGAGAACAAAACACATTTATAAACAGACTGTGAAGTAGTGTGGGAGGGTGGTTGGAGGAACATAGTATGCAGCACGTAAACATTAGCATGCAGTACTTAATTTGAGGTGAATTTACTTATGCTTCACACAGGTGTACATAGGCTAAAATATTTTGCCAGTTTCAATGAAATAAGGAAGTGTATCGTGTGGACATGGCACTCCTAAGTGCATGGCAACTCATTTTAGTACAAAGTACCATATTTACCCAAATCCATGATGACTTTGAATTTAAGACAACCACCCAATAATTAGACTTTGCACATGGAAAATTATTCATCTGTTGTAATGTTCCACGTACAGAAACTAATTATTAGAGGGTCATCTTAAATTCATTCCCCCACCCCTGTGGCAGGGAAAGCAGTGGCAGGGACAAGGGGCCAGACCCCCACCACTTGCACACCCTTAGCCTGCACCTGCCCCCTGCTGTTTCCCCCCATGTCTGCCCACCCCTTAGACTCTTATGCCTGTGCTTGTTCCCCCACCCAATCCTTGGGCCCCCCACGCCTGTACCAGCCTCCCTGCCACCTGCACCCCCTCCACACTCCCTGTTCCCCTCTACTCCCTGCTTTCCAACCCCCACCAACAGCCCTATCCCTAAAGAACTTGTTCAGTCCTCTTTTGAATCTGATGAAATTGGCAGCCTCTACAATGAATTCTATGAATTAATTACATGCTATGTGAAAAAGAGTTTTATTTTGTTAATTTTAAACATGCTTTCTGGGTACAGACAGAAGTGCAGCTCCCAGCTGTAACTCAGAGCAATTTCTGCAAAGTGTTACATTAACCCAGACCAAATAGAAATTTGCTGTTGGTTCCATGGGGGAGAAGACTCTAGCTGCAGGCTGGGAGCCTGTAGCCAGGTTCCCAGAGCAATGGCCAGGCTGTCTGCCAGTGCTCACTGTTTTCAGAATGGGAGGGGGAAAAGACAGTGGATGGAGTGCATTCTTGGGACTCCCCAGCTGGTGCTGAAGGGTGGGGTGGGTGAATTGGAGACCCTCCCCCCAATACACCCACCCCAGCCTCTGGGGGAAGGGGTAGAAAACCCTCTAGACTGAATTATCTCCACTCCCTTTCCCCCGTTCCCATACTGAAAATAGCAACAGGCTGGGAACTCCGCAGAGGGATGTTAAAAAAGACACTACCTTTTGCAACGCCTTTATCTGATACCTCAGGCAATGAGGGATCAGGCGGCCATATCTGAAGCTGTTTGCAGCTGTGCACTTGTGTTTGGTCACAGCTATAGACTGCTTTCTGTGGCTAGATCAAGTAAAAATTGTCACTTCTGTCTAATAATTTCCTTGAACTGCCCCTCATATACTTAGTCTCTCTTTGTACAGAAGCTTCTCCTTGCCCTTGGTCATCCTTGTTTCTCTCTCTGTATTTTTTCTAGTTATACTCTATTATTTGGGAAGTGGGAAGGGAGACAGCAGAACTGAATGAAGTATTCAGGGTATCATTGCAGCATAGAGGTATAATTATATTTTCTATTTTTTTTCAATCCCCTTCTTAAAAAAAAACATTCTTAACCAGCCTATTTAGTCCAAAGTCTGTAAAATATCTGTGGCATGTTTTAGAATTGGAGTTATGCTGTCCTACAGCAAAAGAGAAATTTTCTGAGATGAACCTGAAACAGGAAAAAATGGACATTTTTGTAAAATGGTTTTCAACTTTATTTTAGATACAGAAATAAATTTGGAAAGCAAATATTTTACATTATTATTAATATAGCCTTGTCAGAGACACGATTTCTGGATCATATATACCTTCTTTTTATGTTTTTCATACTTTACTTAATTTGTCTTGTTTTAATAAAAAACTTTAATTTTCTCTGTGGAGAGAAAAGAAACAAGTGTGTGAGGAGAAATGATATCAGTTTTCAAATATTAACATCACATGAATAGAAATGCCAGGAACAGACTTTGATGGTTTTCTAAGTCAAGCTAAGTTCATCAAATATTTATCTTTTTCTGACCAATGATTACTATTTCTGTTAAAAGGACACTTGGCTTAAAAGTATTAGGCCTAAATTTTCTTCCTCTTACTCCAGTGTAAATGAGAAAAACTTAGTGCTTCTATTATATATTTCGATATACTTCAGACTGCAAAGCAAACTTGTGGGAATTTAGCTCCCAGCTTCCTGAAGAACGTGGGGAAAGGAAACCTCAGGGGAATGTCCTGGGGCACTGGGGGAGGACTGGATGGCACGGTGAGGAGCACAGGCAGCAACGGAGGAGCAGCAGAAGTGATGGAGGCAGCAGCCGCCAGGCTTTGGAAGCATGCACTCGCTGTGTATGGGCAGACACACTGCAGCTTCTGGTATAACCAGAAGCCAGGCACCAGCCAGAATGGAGAGCTGGTGTAGTGAGGAGACAGCCGGCAGCAGGAGTGGGGCTGCTGTGAGAGCTTGAGCCTGACATCATGTGGGTGCACCCCACCCCAGGTGGAAAGAATACCTGAAGCCCAGGCACTTGGAGGAGTGCCAGCAGCCAGTGCCCAGAGCTTTGAACAGCTGATGGGGACCCATCGAGGCCACAAGTGGCAGAGGGGGATGCAGACCTGAGTGGGATGGAAGATTCTGCAAGTAATTGATTGGATCATGAATGAGAGTCAAGGAGCCGGGGGCTTCACATGCTTTATGTTAATTATTGTCATTTCTTTATCAAATTGAGTGAATCATTTGATGACTGTGAAAGCCCATGTTTGGGCTGGACTGAAATACAGTATTGTTGAATGTGATTAAGAGGACAGCAATGAGCCAAACCCTGAGGCTCTAAAGACCCCACCTGAGGTATTCCAGTGGCCCTGATCAATCAGCAGGTTACCAAAATTTTGCTTAAGATTAATTTTTGCTTCTGGAACATCTGGTTGGCATGTGAATGAGGAAGCAGGAGCCTGGTGAGGAAGGCTCATCACACACATATAATTCCATAAACATTGGGAGCCTTCTGCTTACTTAATAATACCAAGATGTGGCGGGCGAGAACAGAAGGGTGACTCATGGGCATGGATATGTGCATAAGCCAAACTGTTGTTTCATAAAGCCAAGTACATAGAGAGCTCTAGCTCTCATGCCTGGAGATTAGGCATATCTCTAGTGTTGGCTACAAAATGTTTCAGTGATGAAAGCCAGAGATGCAGTCTGGTTATTTTTCTGTCATAGGAATCCTACTAAGTGGAACAAGTCTCTATTGGAAAAATACTATAAAATGTTTACTACAATGAACAATATAAAGGCTGACTAAATTAAATGCAGGTGAATTTATTTAGTTTGATCTACTTTTTCTTAATTTTAAAGCGAAAAACTGAACTTCATAGACTATACACAAATAATTCCATTCCTTATCTCCTAGTCCTCCATTTACCATATCCTTTGCATTATTTTTTCCTCTTCCATTTCCTCTGCTGTCAGCATGAATGAACCACTTTCATAGTCATCACAATGTTTTATTGTCCTATGCAAAGCTGCCAGTTTCTGTCTAATGCACAAAGTGCTAGCTTTTATTTTGTTTTCCATTCAATCAGATGGAAACAAATATTCATGCCAAAGAAATATTTGCTGCTAAAACTCTATTTACTATAGAAATTAGTCCAGAACATCCTGAAAAGTAAAAATGCATTTAAAATTCTGCAGGCCATGTAGTGGTCAGAAAACATACAGACAAATTTTCTATTTAATTTCTTGTCAGTGATAATCCTACATTTTTCTGATATTGCTAGCCTTGGAAAATGACATAATAATAAAGAGCCAGATTTTCAGTTCTAGCTAGGTACCTTCTGTGCTACTGTTCTGTTGGGACATCTGAGAATCTCTGCCATGAGAAAATTCCCAGGTGGATTGCAGCTATTCCTACACCACTTACTTTCCCCTATATTCAGGCAGAGAGGGTCACGGATGCAGCACACTTACTATTCACAAGTGTATGCTAACCAATTCATTTCAACACAGTATAGATAGATGTTTTATACTTCTCCACAATGAGACAACTTATATATAACACTCAGATTAAAAATATTTTAAGATTGTTACTGGGATTACAGTGGGGATCTCTGTTTTACTGTAAAGACAGATGGTTTGGTGCCCATGAGTTCACCAGTACCAAGCTCCTGGGGAACCCAGAAAAGTATGCTAATACCTTATGTATACGTAAAAGTGTCACAGTTTTAAAGGCAGAGATCTTGAGGGGGAAAAACAAAGTGCACATTCCCTTTGGAAAACTGGAAATATTTCTTCAAGAGTAAAATAACCCTATTCCCAAGACAGAATCTTTACATGAAAATACCTGAATTTAAATTAATGATAGTTTGATACCCTCACTCTTAGAGAGCAACAGTATTTGACCAAGAATTAGCAATCTGGGATGGATCACTTAGAGAGAACACTTAGCATGAACTCTTCAGATTTACCTAATTCCTTTGTTCTTTTGCATGACTTCTAAGGGCTTTGCAGAAAGTGTACATTGCTCAGCTAATTCTAATACACAAAGTAGAGAGTTATAGGAAACATATTTTGAATTGTGCTTCAATCTGTTTGAATCTCAAAAATTCAGTAGAAACAAACAACTGAACATTAAATAATCATTCATAAATCTCCTGATTTTTTTAGAGATGCATTTTAAAACAAACACGCAATGCTCAGTTTGATGTTAGATTCTGGCTTTCTTATAATTTCGTATGAGAATTTCCTAAGTTACAGAGTCATAAAGTATTAGTGTTGGATACTTCACCTACTCCCCCAGCATGACACAATATCCAAAAGAATGTGTAACCTTAGTAAGAAAATAAAGGGATTTCTGTATTGACTTGTTCAACTTTGGAATGGGGCAGATGTGCAATTATAACAGGGTAAGTTTCCTCTTGGGAAACTGTCCAAACATTGGCAACCCCACAGGAGAAAGCACTCGTTTCAAAGCAGGAGGAAAAAAACCCAGAAAAACAACCCTATCTCATTTACATTTTTGTTCCTTGTACAAATATAGTAATTTATTCTCAGAATCACTGAAGTATCATTTTGCAATCTGTATACAATCTCTTAAGGACATTTGCTAATTTAATAGGTCACTTTCCAACAATAATAAGTTTGTCAAACTTTTTCCTTTTTTAAAAATTATATGATAATACACTTTGTTTTCCTTGGGGGCAAACTTTTTAGTTTTTCAAAAACTGAGCCCAAACTGGTTTGGACATTTTTGAGACCTAAAAGACATATGTTTCAGAGCTCTAGAAAGACAACCGGAATACTAGATCAAAGGTGGACCACTAAAATCCAGATCCAGATGGAATTTTCCCAAAGTAGAAGGCACTTTGTTTGGAAAAGACCCAGCATGGGAGAGGGAGTGAGAGAGAGAATTAAGGTGTGTACCTGGAATAACTGTAGGTTCATCTGGAGATTCCAAGTTTATTTTTAGTTCAATTATTCAGGAATACTGAAAATGGGGAGTTTAGGAAATATTAGACCTCTTCAGGAATTCAACATATTCACAAAGATCTTCAATAACTAGAAATGAAAGTATGGCCTGGAACAGGGATATCATCAAACATACCGTTCACAGGCCAGAACCCCACAACATGAGGCCGGTCGATGGAGAGGATCTGGCCCACAGACCCTCTCTCCTTCCCTTTCCCGGTCTCTCAGTGTACCTGATCCTAAGGCTGCTTCAGCCATTCTGGGAACTACACTGCATGTAGCATGGATCTCAGATTAGCTTGAATGTAGCACGGTCTGGCCAGAGCAGTAGCTGTGCTGCATGCAGTGTCTGCCCTGATCACACTGCACCAAATGCGGTGCCTTTTTTAGGAAGTGTGCTGCACATGGTGCCTGCTGCAGCTGGTCTGGGACCCCCATGCAGCGTGTATGGCACAGTCCTGGAACTACTGAGGCTGGCACCACATGCAGTATAATACAGTTGGGACAGCCACCAAGTGCAGCATGACTGCCACTCCAGCAGAACTGTGCTGAATGCAGCACCCATTCTGGCCACTCTGGGATCCATGGTGTACTCAGGGCAGATCCCAGACTGGCTGGAGCAGCCTCCAGATAAAGTATGTTTTGGAAGGGGGGAGGGGGATGGGGAAAAGGGGAAGAGGTCTGTGGACCATTCTGTGGACTGGCCCTACGCTACTCATCCAACCCATAGGGCTGGATGAGTTTGGCACCCCTGACCTAGAATCTCCCTGAATTTCCAATTAATCTGAGGGCAGACCGGAGAAGTCTGGGTTCATGTAAAATGGATAAAAATGTGATTTCTCTTATTATTTAATCCAAATGATGTCAGGACCAGTATTATCTTTACTCATTTTAAAACTCTGAGAAATACTTTTTTTCCCATGCTCACTCTGGAAATAACAACTGATTTATCATTTCCCCATATTTATTTCCTTAGTTGCGGATTTAAAACAGTGCACTAATATGAATCTTAAACCACAGCTCAGACTTACCTTGCAATGGTAGTCCTACATTTTTTAACAGTTC